TCCATCAAAACAGCATGAAATAGCACCCACGTATGAGCAAACTTATCTACTGCCATTGCTGTTTACAGCCTGAGAAATCCTTAAGGAAACAGCAGGATAATAACTTGGTAGAGTCATCATCTAGTCTGGACCCTCAAGATTCTAGGTTACTCAGGCCTGGGAGAGGTGCTGGCACGTTGCCCTTGTTCTCCTTGACATTCTGAGATCTTTAAGTGGGACAGTCAGAAAGAAGTCATTGCTTTCATTCTCTTAACCATTGGGCTGGGGTGGGGAGGGCAGTGTTTAGGGATTTTTTTAAAAGTTCCTCATTACGACAGGAATTTCAACCTATCCACGGAGGTTCTTCCTATCCATTGGGATTTCAGGATACTCTGAGACCAAAGCCTTTGCAACATATGCTTTGCCTCACGGTGCTACAAGTAGTTAAGAGCAGCCCAGCTCAGTCAAAACACAGCGTGTCTTTTACTCCTTCCTTGGTCAGGATAAGCTCCTAGAGCTGCAGGAAAATAGGAGGGTTCTTCATTTAAATTTCAGGAGTTGGTTTCTGAGAGAAGGGACTTAGTGGAAGAAAAAAAAGCTAAATTATATTTTAGCTTTTCCCTGCTAGAGAATCTTTGGTCTGTTCCCTGTTTGGTCTGTTTCTCAGCAGACCTTACCAGCCCCTCAGAGTGCAAACCTTTCGGTCAACCTGAGAACCATAGCTCACAGAGGAAACCTCATCTTGCCTGCCTCTTCAGAGTTAGGGTAGAGGGCAGCCTTGTGAATGTGCAGAAGGTGCTCGTTGAATAAATCTGATAGCTTCCAGAGTGGTATTCATCGTCCCTGGGCTGGGCTTCCAGCCACACTAGGGGATATCTGCACATCTCAGATCTCCACCCCAGTCCTAAAGCTGATGCAGATTGTACCTGCTGCTTGCCAGCTTCTTCTCCTAAGGAGGCACTTACTGCAGACATGATAACTCCCTTCAGTTTTGGTGTGTTGCAATTAACTAAGGAAACTAATTTTCACAAGACTGTTATCAGCGATGGTACCAGCTTAGCTGGGGCACCAATCTACTCTGCAATCAATATCGAGCCTCACAAAACACCATCTCATCTCTTTTTAATGACGTTCATAAAAGCACATACTTTCAAAGAAAGGAGCCATCTCCCATCGTATATATTTTCTCCCCAGTATGAAAAAAGTAGCCTATGAAAAATACTGGTGAACTTCTTAGAGGGGTACATTTCTTATTTATTGACAGCTTAGAAGAAGAAATAATTCGGATCAAGTGACCTTTTGTCTTTGTAGACAAACTAAAAATAGAGTTAAGTTCAAGGTATCTCTCTCACATACACACACACACACATTTTTTGTTCTATTCATGCCTGTCCTTGGTCACTCCCTGTAGCGTTAGTCAAGAATGGACTCTTGGAATATTTGAAAGGACCAGAGGATGGCAGAGCTGAGCCATTTATTTTGGCTGCTCTTGAAAAATGAGACATGTTGTAAACTAATAGATAAGAAGTTATTGGTATTATTATCTGCTTAATCGCTTTCTCCTAAATTTGGCTCCTAGGAGTTTGGGAGGTGGGTGAAATCACCCATTCGTCTATGCCAGTATCCAGTTTTTCCTTCATGCAAAAATAAATACTGGTCTATATACATAAGGGTTTGAAAACCAGTAAACCACTCATTATACCTAAATTAGTTTTCTCTGTACTGTAGCCCTTGTCATCTGTAGTCCCAAGGCATGATGTCCTCTGTGCACAAACTGAAGAGGAAATTAAGGAAGTATTGCCCTTTTTGTTAAAGCCAACTGAAAAGATATTGGGCTTAAATTACCTAGTTTGATTTTCTGTAATGATGAAATCCAGGTAACTAGTTGCTAAATCCTTACTACATTACACATTAACGATAACGTGTTCTCCTTGAGCATATGCTCCATTCCTCATTCCTGATGGCATTTTTGGCATTATAATGATTGGTGTTCTTTCCCCACATTTGTTCACCTTTGATAAAGTGGAGCGAAAGGAAAAACAAATCTGCAAATTGTCCAAAGAAAGGCAACAAGAATTGTGTGTGTCCATATACGTGTGCATATGTATATTCATAGCCACCCGGAGAGTTCAGAAATCAAAGTGACCTTAAACTTTCTGTTGTGTGAACTTCCTATAGACCAGTTCAAGCACATAGAGCAGTCGGTGCCATGAGGGAGGTGGAAATCACCTGTACCACTCTCCCCATTATGTATTTAGAGAAACCAGAGCTTAGTGGTTTACCCGAGGTCACCCAGCATATTAGTGGCAGGACTAAAATTCACATTCTTCTTTTCACTGCTATCATGCATCCGCTCACATTTACTTTCTATGAGAGATGCTGTGTTTGGAATAGTCTGAGAGGAGATCTCCTCTGTGTCTCAGAGAGATGATTCTGTTGTCTGTTGGGTACTATCAGCTAGACCTGGCGGCACCCACTGGGCACAGAGGTTGACTATTGTGGCAGAAGTTCAAGGATCCAGCAGAGGTTGGGCGAATGGCCCAGTGATTTCTCTGTCTTGAGGAGATTCCAGACACCTCATACAAGGAGTACGGTGTGATTTTGCAGTTTGCATGGAGGAAAAATGTCTTAGAACAATTGGTACTGTCTCTAGTTCCTGATAGTGGCTTAGCGCATTTGTTGCCTGATTCACCTAGACTTCAGACCTTCTGAATTTAGTCTAATAATGAGTAAAGTAGAGAGAATGGGTTCTTTAATGATTTGCCCCCTAAATTGAATAAAGTGCTAGTGAAAGGGGATGTTAGCCTTTCCAGAGACCCATGCACCACTTGAGAATTGAGGGTTTTTCCCCCTCTCCCTTAAATAAAGTGAATATAGTGCTCATGAAAGGTGCTAATAGCAGTGCAAAGGCTGATATTCTAGTCTTGAACTGGCAGTATTTGTTCAAGTCCCTCTATTTAACTTTTCCTCCTTCAGACACATGTTAGTGGTGGGGAAAAGGATGGTCTTACATGAGAGACTCCTACTCACTTGGCTCCCATTCCTCAATGCTTCTTAGAAAAAAGGATTCCGGGTTCCCTCCCACATCCTCCACAGCTAGAATACCGTTTAGTTTTCTGGTCTACACAGGCCAAGGGAAGGGAAGGTAATGATTGGTTAACCTTGGAACTTGCATGTAAACAGCTTTTTCATTAAAGCCACAAAGCCACATCCTTTTTTGGCGGCATAGTGCATTTTCTTTACCTCAGTCACCTCTGGATCTTGTCTTAACCTGCTTCTTTGGGCTTCTGTGGGCATTAGTTATGGGCATAGGGAATGGGAGAAACTTCCCCTGGGGAAGGGGCTTTAGGGAGGAGTTAGGTTCCCAGTGTCTCATCTCTGTCCTGCCCTAAGTTGGGGATACTCTAAAGGCACAAGTGAACCCCAAGCCTCAGTACGACTGACTGTCAGCTGTGTCTCACCAGCTACCTACCACTTTGTTCCACTAAAGTGCAAAGAAAGAAATGTAACACCAGTATTCTGGTTACGGGCCATAGCAGGGAGGATGCCACAAGCCATAGTGCAGTCGTTTCAGGTGCAGTGGTGTTGACAGAGGGTGGGCCAGAGGCTGCTGGACAGAGCGGCCCACCTTGAAGACCTCCCATCTGTGAACATCTGTGTCCTTGAGCGGGCTCCCCCACTCCCCGCAGTTCACTTCGCAGGCTCTCTCCTTTTTCCCCAGAACTATCCCACGATATCCCTAGCTATCTGGATAGTTCTGGCACTTCAGAGTTAGAAGGAGAGAGAAATGTTTGTCTAACGTTCTTAAATGTTAAAGCCAAACAAAGCACCAAAAAGGAAAACAAAAAAAAGACTTATAAAAATATAATGGGGTCTTCCCCCCCAAGCTTCCCACATTCTTTGTGGTATATGAAATGTCAGAATATAATGAACAGACTTTATAAACATTACTCTCTTTCCACCCGTATACACACATCTAAGTGGCAGCAGCCTCACTGCTACCCTTTCACCTCGCAAAACTTCACTCTGTAGAACCACGGTATAATGCATCTGTTTCATCCTATGGACCCCACCTTCCCAAACATACACCCACTTGCAATTCCAGAGACTCTCCCCAAAAATAGACATCTGAAAAAAGTGCATCTGTTTATACTCAGTCTATCTGCATATTATTTCTTGAGATTATTACCTTTTTTTTTTTTAACCATAAAAAAGATTGCATATTAGCAATATGATGAGAAAAACCACAGCGGCCATTTCTGGGTGGTGGTGGAGGGTAAGTGGGGTGGGTGGTGAAGCACAGAAGCGCGAGGGCTCAGAGAGGGGCAGCTCAGAGAGAGGTCCTCAGCCTGGAGACGTGAGGATGGATTCTCAATCTTCGGGCCTCGGAAATGTTCCATCTCTTTAGTCACACCCTTCTCTTCTCTCCACTTTTCCCCATTTCCACTACCCATGCCTGGGCCGCACGACCCTCTTGAAGCAGAGGCCGAATGGCTTTTTGGCATGAGTCCGCCTGGGCGTTTGGAGGGGTGTGATGTGGGACACACACCAGAGCAAGCTTATTTGTGACTGTTTCCACTCTGGGAACAATTGTCCATCACGTCTGTGACTTTAAAAATTTAAGCAGTTACTAGGCTGATAGGTTAAGAAATCTTTTGTTCTTGTGGTTTTGGATTAATATTAAGCATGAATATATATCCTATATTATATTGCTTCCCTTCTGCTCTGGGGCAGACTGCACGCTCCTTCCAAACAGGAAAACTGCACAGCCCACGGACTCAAATTTTTGAAAGCTGTTTTCTCCCACTCCCCCCGACCCACCCCAAACCCTCCCCTTCCTCCCTGGCCCCTCAGTTCCTGTATTAGAAAAGCCCCTCCCTCCCCGCTCCCACCAGCCACCCGAGGTTAAATAGATAGTGCCACATTCTAAGAGTCATGCATCGCCGCATTTGGAATTGCAGAGAAGGAGACGGTTGTGTGTGCGCCCCCTCCCTCCCGTCCCCTCCTTTTTGGCCCTCAGATTCCTGTGCTCTTCCCACTCTGCCCTCTCCCAGCCTCCCCCCATCCCAGACCCGTCACTGGTTGTGGACATCCTCCCTGCGGACGATCTTGTAGATGATCCAGTAGAACATGTTGAAGATGAGGAAGGCCATGGGGAAGCCTATGCGGGAGATTTTGTCAATCTTCTTGGCCCTCTGGATGAAGAGTTTTCGCATCTCCTCCGGGGACTTAGATGGCGCAGGAGGTGGGTTGGTGGTGGTGTTGTTGTTGGCGCCCTTGACCGAGATGCCGTCCTTGGCCTGAAGGCAGGCCGGGCCCATCCCATAGGCAGAGAAGTTGAAGCGGCCCTCTCCGGCCTCATCCTCCTGAAACAGATTCAACATGGGGCTCTACTTAAAATAAGACAGGGGCTGGGCACCCTCCCTGCAAGGCACTCCCCTGGGGGGCCAGGCCATGCGCATCTGGCTCTCCCTGCCTCCATTCCAGGCTCCTGAAGGCTCTTTGGCTGGCTGGGGAGTTGTGCCTTATAGAGGGGCGCCACTCACATACCAAAACAGATGCAAACCAGGGGATAGGAGTGCAGCGTGGAGTCTGGAGACCTGTGTTCAGGTCTCTGCTCCATCATTTGCTGGCTGTGTGACCTTACGCAAGTCACTTCTTGGAAGACTTCCTTCCATGACTCTCAAAGAGTTTTTTAATTTCATTTTTTCCTTTAAGTGGGGATAAGATTCACTCCACTACTTCAAGGTGTTTTTCGACCATCAGAGGTTATAGATGAGCGGATACTCTGAACGCTGTTTTGTTAGAAATCCAGGGGACAGTTTGGAGAGATCCCCTGCTTTGCCTCTGTTGCCTCCTTGCCCTCTCCCACCCACTCCATTACCCAGTTAATGTCTTCTGTGCGTAGGTTGGGGGAGGGAGTGAACGGCCCAGGAGGGAGCAAGGGCTGTGGGTCTCACCTCCACTCACAAGCCAGGGCACCACAGCTGCTGCTTACCTCCATGTTCCTGTATCCCTGGCAGGTGTGACCTCAGACATACCTCTGGATTTTTATCACGTTATCATTCAAGCCCTTCATCATTTGGCTCCAACTTACCTTTGCAGAGTTCTCCCCTCCCCCACCCTATGCTCTGCACCCCTGCCTGTTGTGTTGCATGTTCCCCCCTCCCTGCCTCATGCTCACTACCCAAATGTCTGCTCCCCTGAGCTTCCTCGCTTTTTCTGTTCCTCATCTGGATCGTGGAGACACTCTTGTCTGCTCTCATCATGTCCGGCTCTGTGGTCCTTCCTTGTGAGCTCTGAGGCACGCTGAGAGTCTCAGCTGGGCTGCTGATTCAGTGTGTGGCTCTGGGGGGTTTATGGGCTCACTCTGCCATCCTAGAGAGCGAGAGCTCTTCGGGTAGCCTCCCTGTCTTCTGCTTGTTCCTGTGAGGGGCAGGGCCAGCAGAGAGCAGGAAATGGAGCCCAGGGGCCCCAGTGCCTGTCCAGCTCTGCGCCTGCCACTCCATCCTGGGTCCCCATCTGGGCTTGTTGTGATGACGTCCAGCCTAGTTTCCCTCCTGCCTCCCATCTCCCCCCCCCCGCCCCCTCCAACCCATCTGGGTTCTTATGACATAAATCTTATTGGTCGTCTTTTGCTTAGAACTTTTTAATAGGCTGCCACTGACTTGAGGATAATTAAAACTTTTACATGGTGACAAGGCCTTAGATGACTTGGGCAGTCCTGTCTGCGTATCTCCGTCTGGCATTCTGTGCTCCAGCCACTCTGTGATATTTCCATCTCTTGGAAAGTGCTGCACTCCTCTTTCACTCTGGCCTCTGGGAAGGTGGGTCTCTCTGCTGGAGCGCTCTCCCAGCCCCACCCCTGCTTCCATCTCCTTCTCTTTCCCTGAACTAATTCCTACTCAGAGGCCTTCCCTGAGCCCAAGGATAGGCTAGGTGTCCCTGCTTTGTGCTCCATAAACTCCCTCTACACCCCTCCCTCTTTTTCCTTTTTTGTATTTTAAAGCCCTTATCACATTGTTTTCCTTGATTAATGTCTGTCTCTTCCATTAGACTGTAAACTCCATGAAGTCAGAGGCAAAGTCTGTCACGAATATATTTCCTGGGCAGAAGTTCAAAACTCTGCCAATGTTTGTTGACTAAACGTTTACTTGTATATCCTCTCCAATCCCAGCTTCCCCACCTCCCAACCTTTTTTTAAAATTTAAATGCGGTTGTATTCCTAGCGCCAGGAGGATTTTTTTTTTTTAATTGGAGCATAGTTGCTTTACAATGTTGTGTTAATGTCTGCTGTACAGCAAAGTGAGGCAGCTACACATATGCATATATCCCCTCTTTTTTGGATTTCCTTCCCATTCAGGTCACCACAGAGCATAGAGTAGAGTTCCCTGTACTGTACAGTGGGTTCTCATTAGCTATCTATTTTATGCACAGTAGTGTGTATATGTCAATCCCAATCTCCCAGTTCATCCCACTCCCAACCTTCCCCCCTTGGTATCCATACGTTTGCTAGCACCAGGAGGATTTGACACATATGATGAATGCTCAAGAAATCTTGTGCAAATGACTGAATCTGGTCCAACACCCGTGTTGCACAAGTGAGGGAAAGAAGATGGGCTCCAGTGCCTGGCAGATCGGTGCTCAACCAATACTTGTCTATAGGGAGGACAACTAGAGGGTTTGTGCCAGAGCCGAGGAGAGGAGTTGGGGGAGGCTGGCCAAGTCACTGGACCCTGTGCCTGGAAGTGGGCTGGCGCCGACTCTGTTGCTTATCAGTATAAATAGCTCCCCCCCACCCCCGCTGTGGTGGAGTGGGTGGGAGTGGGTGCTTGAAAATGTTTTCTCGCTGGGCTCCAGGTATGCAGGGGGTGGCCCAAGTTAACTCTTTGTATAGCTTTGGAAAGTTATTCTTTGTCTTCTTCATCTATTAAGCATGAGAGGGGATGGGATGGGGGTGTGGAGGCCTCATCTGGTGAGAAGATGATCAATTTCACATTGTATCCAGGAGAAAGGAAATTCCCTAGAAATGACTGGACCAAAGCTTGCTATTCCTGTTTGAGCCAGCAGATGGCAGGAAATGAATGCCCAACTGCACCTGGGGCTGCGTGGGGCTGGAGCAGGGGAAATCTGATAGTTACTCTAGAGCCCAGGGAAGTTGGTAGTGTGCCTGCCCAGTCAGGCTCACAGAGGTTTCCTAATAATCTGAGTAATGAGGCTGGCCAGGAAATTCGAGGACCAGATGCTTTCTGCCCAGCAAATGAGGTAACATGGGAAGATAGAGGGAGATGAGGAGCCTGGCCAAGATCACAGGCTCCGAGAAACTCGGGCATATAAGCGAGTTCCTCTTCACTCCCATCTGGGGCTTAAAACCCCCCTAGGGCTCTGCGGTCCCAGCTTGTACACTGCCAGTGTACAGGCCGCATCCAGAGGGCCTTACTCCAAGGAACCTCTTCTTTATGGTGAGCCTGATTCTGTGTCCTTGTAGTTTCTGACATTTGTGCCAAGTTGGGAGCCCATGGGCACAAGGAAGGTCACGCTAATTCAGATGCACACCAGGGGCCAGGCAGGAGGAGTGCGTGATGAAGTGAGCCTGGGGCTGTGGAATGCATTCCCTACCTACAGGCATTTGCAGTGCGCCTGTACCATGTGGGATGTGAATCCAGCGGGACCAGAGGCTGCAATGTTTTGAGTGAAACTAGAAGTGTGACTTTTGAATGCAGGCACTTTCTTCCAGATTTTTAAGACACTGCTTAAAAACGGAAAGATATTTGCGTGGCAAATTTGACCTTCTAGCTACTCGTTTTTGACCTCTGCCTTGGGATGAATCTTAGTTTCTATTTAAGGTCTAATAAATGCAGGACTATTTTTATCTGCTTCGGGATGGAAACACTGATGAACAGATAAGAAGCAGCTGGTGGTATATGGTCAGTGTTTTGAGAATAGCCATGGGTCTTGGAAGGCCGCCTTGCCTTTGCCATCAGTGGCTCCATGAGCCAGGTAACTTGCCCCTCCTCTTTGTTGTCACCTCACAGGAGGAGTGGACCAGATGCTCTCTTGAGAGCGCTTCCAGCACCAGCGTGCTTTGAGAGAATGAGGAAGGAACCGAGCAGAGGAATCTGATCAAATCTGCATAGTGGCCTTATGCACACTTTACTTGGCCAGAGGTAAAACAAAGCTTCTGTTTTCCTCTAGTGTATAAAACTGGTAGGCGTTTGGCAAGGGTGAAGGCAGCCTTTGGAAGTACTGTAGGCCCTGCATATTACATATCTGCAAGGAGCTTCATTCACATTTTCGTCTCTGTAAACGCTGCCCCCTGGAGTTGTGCAGGGCACAGTCTGGTGGACTGGTGCCAGTCAAATATTTTGGACATAGTTTTCCCAAATAACTGTCTCTGCAACACATTTTTGAACTTCTTTTAGCAGAGGGAAATGCAGAAAACGCTAGCCTATGGGGGAGAAAGGGAAAACAAAAAGTAAATCCCAGAGATAGTTGTGTTTGGTCAGTTCCTTGTTTAGACTATGTTAAGAGTCAGAGGCTAGGTATCTGGTGGACAGTAATGGAAGGACTAAAACTAGGGTCTTTCAAGAAGTCCTGTCTGGCTCGCTGCACCCAAGATGGTTTCCTCTTCCAGCGCAGGTTATATCCTAACTCCCACGGGCATCTTCTGTCTCGGAACGTCTGCCTGCCGCCTGCGGTTAACTGCTAGAAGTTAATTGAATCAGATTGCTGATGTTTAAGAAACATACTGAGGGAAATCTGTGCCTATGGAATCATTTTAATCCCTGGCACTTGTGTGGCAGGAACAAAACTTAAAGCTACTTTGGCATCTGATTTCATCTTCACCACAGTCCCCCATTATACCCACTTAGTCCATTTTACAGATGGAGAAGCTGGGCCCCAAAAGAGGCTAGCTGAATATCACATACCAAAGAGGCAGAGTCCTTTGTCACAGCACCTTGTAACTCGGTAGACAGCTATTTTCTGTAGGTCAACCTAAAGCAGCTAGGCCTTGGTGTGTGGCAGGTATGTGGTGTGTGGCCTGTATGAGCCCAGAGTGTATGAGCCCCTGGTTGTCCTTATCCATTGCTGGAAACACTTCTAAGTAACCTCTCTGACTGGCAGGTCTCCTCTTTTTTCATTAGGTTTTTTTTATCCCTTTGTCCATTTGTTCAACAAATGCCTATTGCGTGTTCACTATCTATCAGGCCTTGTGTTACGCACCAGGGATGTAGCACTGAGCAAGAGGAGACAGGGTCTCTGCCCTGAGGGAGCTTATCATTCAGTGGACGATGCGCAGTAAACAATCACATGATTGAATGAATAATTATAACTCAAGATAAATGTTCGGAAGGAAAGAAACCGAGTTCAACTAGAGTATGGTTTTCGCTGGCATAAACAGTGTCTTTGTGCAAATTAGAAGAAAGGCATCTGCCTCTTGGGGTGTATGAATCGAGATCCCTTCCTCTGGCTGATAGAGTCCACGCCAGGGCAGGATTTAGAGAAGAGCACCTCCTTGGCTGGGGGTCCTTGTAGGATACAACCTGCATGACCATACTTAACAGGCTGGCATACGCACCTCGGTACAGGACCTAACCTTGACTTAGGATATCAAGGAAAGGTGCCTCAGCCGAGGACTGGAAAATGAGTGGGTTCATACCAGGCAAAGTGCACCGGAAGAGCAACCCAGGAGGAGAGAACCAGACGCCTAACGTCCTGTGCGTATGCTTGAGGAACTATGAAAAAAGCCAGTGTAGATGGTGCTCAGAGAGCAAAGGAGGAAGTGATGTGAAGATGAGGCTGGAGAGAAAAGCAGCTTCTCTGATCCGCAGGAGAAAGGTGTCCTGGGGAAGTAGTTATGGACCAGGAAGGATGTGGAGCCAGTTTTCTCCCACAGGCTGTATGCTCTCCAATGGCGCTTGTTGGTTGGGACACACACAACCTCTGAATTAACAGAGGTTGGTGACTTTTCAGAGGTGGTGTGCCAAGTATTTCTTTATTCAATTCCTCATAAGGTGAGAGGATCCACTCTGAGGGAGAATCTTGCTGGATGCCCTTTTCTTAGAAGTAGGAAACAAAGGTCTGGAAACTGGACATTCTACTCTAAGATCTCCCCTTTTGTGGTGCAGATCCCTTCTGGAATCAGGCCCATTGAAATAATTGAAATATTTTCCACCCTGTAGAAAACACCAACAGACACCCCCTCTGCCTGCCATGCTTTGGGTTTATAGCTAGTTTCTATCTTGACACCGTCAGTGTTTGCTCCCTCAGTTCTGTCTTCAGGTGTAACCTGATGGTTAGTGTTACTCTCTGCCTATAGACCCAATCAGGGCATTGTTTATGGGAGGGGAAGCTAGGACTTCCAGAACTTTGACCCCTATTTTGTGCGGGCTTTACCCACTGAGAAGGATGGTCCAGTGAAACAAGTATCACAAGACAGGGTTGCCTGGCACTCTTCCGTTTGCCGCCAGCAGCGAGCCAAAGGCCTACCTTGTGATGTCTTCGCTTCCTCCTGAATCGGAGCAGCTCTTTGTGCTGCCGAGACACAAAGTTGACAGCGGCGTACTCGAGCAGGGCTGAGAACACGAAGAGCAGGCACACGGCCATCCAAATGTCAATGGCTTTCACATAGGACACCTGGGGCGGAGGTGGGGGGAAGAGCACAGGGAAGTGAGGAGAGAGCAGAGTGAAGTCTTGAGTACCGAGAAATGTTTTCTGCTCATTAGGACCCCCTCCCTTGTCACTCACTCACTGCTGTCCTCTCTCAGCTGGGATATTAGGGTGGAGGGTGCAGAGGGAAACAAGAGAAATGCATCAAGAAGACTGGACAGAATGTTGGGGAAAAAAGAACATGGTGCCTAGAAGAGCACTAAAGAGAGGGGGACAGTGTGTCTAGCATTATTGTTCGGTGGAACAGAATGTGGTATTTAGACTAAAGCTCTAAATAGGAAGAGAATTTGTACCTAGGGTTAAAAGTAAGTGGAGGATGTCAGTGCAAATGGCAGAGTAAGATCTTCAAAAACTCTCTCTCCCCATAAAAGCAACTATCAAAAACAGTCAGAACCAACTTTTTTTCAGAACTCTGTTAATTAATCAAAGTCTAACAGCAATCCTGTAAACATTTATTTAAGAAAATCAACTGGATCTCAGTAAGAACATCAAGCTTCATGGCATTAAAGAACCCCCAGCTTTATTGAGATATAATTCACATATCATACACATTTAAAGTGTACAATTCAAAGGTTTTATACATTCACAGATATGTGCAATCATCATCACAGTCAATTTTAGAACATCTTCATCACCTCAAAAAGAAACCTGCTATCTTTTAGCTATCATTTCCTTATTCCCCCAGTTGTCTTCCTCCAGTCCTGGACATTTCATATGAATGGAATCATACAATTTGTGGCCTTTTATGACTGGGTTCTTTCACTTAGCATACTGTTTTCAAGATTCATTCATATGGTAGCATGTGTCAGTATTTTATTCTTTTTTTATGGCCAAATAATATTCCATTGTATGGATATAACACATATTGTTGATCCATTTATCAGTTGATGGACAGTTTGGGCTGTTTCTACCTTTTGGTGATTATGAGTAAAGCTGCTATGAACATTGGTGTGTAAGCTTTTGTGCGGATGTATGTTTTTATTTCCCTTGGGGCTTCGTGGTGTTTTAAGTTGCCCTATTCCCATCCTCTCATCCCCAGCTCTGTGCTAGCTTTGAAATCCAACAGCCTGCAAGCATGGTGAACACGAGTATCCTGACAGCCGCTGCATGGGGCAGAACAGAGTAGGAGCTTCTTTAAAGCTGCATTCTCAGGGAATTGTTATTTGACCAGTTTTGTGGTTCTCGGAGAGACCCCACTCACAAGGCTGTCTTTATTTGACCTGACTTGGAGCTGGTCCAGTGTGAACAGCCTTTTCCTTGAGGGCATTTGTTGAAAACAGTCATCGGCAAGTGTTGAACATTACATCAGCCCCAGGCAGTTGGTAACAGCTGAGGCAAACAATAGGTTGAGCAAAAAGTATAAAAGGAAACATCTGGGGAATGAGCTGTCCATAGAGGGCTTTAGGAAGCTATGATATATTCCTGGGAATCTATGCACATTCCTAGGCCTGTGTGTATGCTCAGGGAAGACCTGAGAAGGCTCTTAGCACTCAACTCTAAATAAACAGGAAGTAAAGGCTAAGTTAAAGTTGTAAACTGCTTGGCTGAGTGTTGAAAGTACACACAGAGCCCCTAGGCAAAGGCTGGGAGATGTATAGGGTTCAGGCATTTAAGGAAATCTCTTAAATTCTTAGCTAACCACTAAGCTAACTGTAGAGACTTCAGTGGCCCCACACAGCAAAGAATACAGACATTACAGAATTAGTTCTGTAAAGTTACTAAACAAACAAACAACGACAAATCCTGAGGAGGGAGGAGAATCTGATTTCCAGAGATGCCACATTGTATAATGTAAAATGTGTAATTTTCAACAACAAATCTAAGACATACAAAGAAACAAGAAAATATGGCGAATGCAATGGACTGAATGTTTGTGTCCTCCCAAAATTCATATGTTGAAATCCGACTCCCAATGCAATGGTATTTGGCGATGAAGCCATTGGGAAGTAATTAGGTCATGAGAATGGAGCCCTCATGCATGGGATTAGTGCCTTTATAAAAAGAGTCCAGAGAGCTAGCATACTCTCTTTCTGCCATGTGAGGATACAACAGTAAGTCAGCAGTTTGCAACTGGAAGAGGATCCTCACCAGAACCAGACTATGTTTGACACTCTGATCTCAGACTTCAAGCCTCCAGAACTGTGAGAAATAAATTTATGTCATTTATGAGCCACCCAGTCTATGGTACTTTGTTATAGAAGCCTGGATTGACTAAGTCAGGCCCATACATAGGAAAAAAAGCAGTCAAAAGAAGCTGTGCCTGGGCTTCCCTGGAGGCACAGTGGTTGAGAATCTGCCTGCCGATGTAGGGGACACGGGTTCGAGCCCCGGTCTGGGAGGATCCCACATGCCGTGGAGCGGCTGGGCCCGTGAGCCACACTACTGAGCCTGCACATCTGGAGCCTGTGCTCTGCAACAAGAGAGGCCGCGATAGCGAGAGGCCCGCGCACCATGATGAAGAGTGGCCCTCTCTTGCCGCAACTAGATAAAGCCCTTGGACAGAAACGAAGACCCAACACAGCCAAAAGTAAAAAAAAAAAAAAAAAAAAAAAGCTGTGCCTGAGGAAACCCAGATGTTGGACTTAACAGACAAAGACTTTAAATCAGTTACATTTTTACTATGTTCAAACAACTGAAAGAAACCTTGTCTACACAACTAAAGTATGAGAGGGAATTCCCTGGCCATCCAATGGTTAAGACTCTGCGTTTCCACTGCAGGGGCCACGGGTTCAATCCCTGGTCAGGGAACTAAGATCCCACAAGCTGGGCAGCCTGGCCAAAAAAAAAGTGTGATAACAAAGTGTCACCAAGTAGAGCATGAAATAGAAGTTACAAAAAAGAACCAAATAGAAATTCTGGAGTTAAAAAGTAAAATAACTGAACTGAAAATTTTACTAGAGAGGATAACAGCATATCTGAGTAGACAGAAGAAAGAATTAGTGAATCGGAAGAAGAATCAATGAACTTGAGGTTATCCTGTTTGAGGAACAGAATGAAGAAAAATTAACAGAGCCTCAGAGACATGCGGGGAACCATCAGGTGCACTAACGTATGTTTGATGGGTATTTCAGAAGAAGAGGAGAGAGAGAGGCAGAATATTTGAAGAAATAATGGCAAATATTTCCCCAAATTTGATGAAAAACACTAATGTACACATCTAAGAAACACAATATACTCCAAGCAAGATAAACTCAAAGAGATCCACACCTAGACATACCATAATCAAACTGTCAGAAGCCAAAGAAAAAGAATCTTGAAAGCAGAAAGAGAGAAGCAATGCATCATGTACAAGGTATCCTCAATAAGATTAACAGCTGATTTCTCTTTAGAAACCATGGGGTCTAGAAAGCAGTGGGATGAAATTAAAGATGACCTGAATAAATGGGAAGACATCCTGTGTTCATGGATTGAAAGACTTAATATTATTAAGATGGCAGTACTCCCCAAATTCCTATATAGACTCAATGCATTTTTAACTAAAATTCCTTTTTACTGTTGTTGCAGAAATTGACAAGCTGATCTTAAAATTTATATTCATGTTCATATGGAAATGCAGGTGACCCAGAATAGCCAAAACAATCTTTAAAAAGAACAAAGTTGAAGGACTCACACTCCCCAACTTCAAAACTCACTATAAAGCTATGGTAATCAAGAGAGTGATACTGACATAAAGATAAATATACTTACCAATGGAATAGAATTGAGAGTCCAGAAATAAATCCATACATCTATGGCCAATTGATTTTTGAGGAGAATATAAATTCAGTGGAGGGAAAGAATAGTCTTTTCAACAAATGGTGCTGGGATAACTGGATATCCACATGCAAAAGAATGATATCTCTCCATATACAAAAATAAACAAAAATGGATCGAAACCCTATATTTAGAGCTAAACTATAAAACTCTTAGAAAAAAGTGTATGTGTAAATCTTCATGATCTTGGATTAGGTATTAGTTTCTTAAGTACGATACCAAAAGCACAAGCAACAACAGAAAGTATAAATTAGACTTCATCAAAATTATAAACTTTTGTGCATAAAGAACTATCAATTAAGTAAAAAGACAACCCATAGAATGGGAGAAAATATATGCAAATCACATATCTTATAAGGGTTTTAAATCCACAATACACAAAGAGCTATTACAACACAACAATAAAAAGGGAAATACCCCAATTAAAAAGTGGGGCAAGAGATTTGAATAGGTTCTCCAAAGAAGATACAGAAATGGTCAATAAACACATGAAAAGATGCTCAACATTATTAGTCATTCAGAAAATGCAAATCAAAACTACAGTGAGATACCACTTCACTTCTATTAAGATATTGATAATCAAAGAGATAGAATAACAAGCGTTAACGAGAACGTGGAGAAATTGGAACTTTGGCAGGATTATAAAATGGTGTAGCCACTCTGGAAAATAGTTTGGCAGTTCCTCAAAAAGTTTAGCATATAATTACATATGACCCAACAATTCCACTCTTAGGTAGTATATACTTATAAGGGTTGAAAACATATGTCCACACAAAAACTTGTACACAGATGTTCATAGCAGCATTATTTAAAATAGGCAAAAAGTGGCATAACCCAAATGTCCATCAAGTGATGAATAGATAAACAAAATGTGAAATATCCATACAATAGAATATTATTCATCCATAAAAAGAAATGAAGTAGTGATACATTCTACAACATAAATGAACCTTGAAAATATTATGCTAAATGAAAGAAGCCAGTCATAAAAGTACACATATTGTGTGATTCCCCTTAGCTGAAATGACTAGGATAGGCAAATTCATAGAGGTAGAAAGTGGATTAGTGGTTGCCAGGGGCTGGTGGGAGCGGAGAACAAGGAGTGACTGTTGATGAATATGGGGGTTTCTTTGTGGGGTGATGAAATGTTCTGGAATTAGACAGCGCTGAGGGTGTACAACTTTGTGAATATATTAAATGCCACTGAATTTTATGCTTTAAAAAAAGCGAAGGGGGAAGAATGTCAGGTTGAGTGTAATAGCAAACGAAGCCCAATATCAAGTCTAGTGTTAACAATGAGTGGAGTAGAATGTTGAGTCTTGTGAGGGGGAATGTGGCATCAACTATTAATAGAGAGTGGAGCAGCATGTTGAGCCTAACATAAGGAACAGGAAGCAGAATATTACTCCTGCTTTTGCAAATGAACAGAGCAGAAAGTGTTGTCACTTGGTGACAGTATACAGAATTTGGTTTCAATCTTTTACAGTAAATGTAGCAGAATGCAAAGTTTAGCGTTAACAGTGCAAAGGGCAGATTGTTGAGTTTTCTTGTGAGGACAAATAGAGGAGAGAGTGGTGTCTAGTGTAGATGGCAGGTGGAGTAGAATGTCATGTCTCACATTAAAAGTTAATGGTAGAGGGACTTTCCTGGTAGCACAGTGGTTAAGAATCCGCCTGCTAATGCAGGGGACACAGGCTCGAGCCCTGGTCCAGGAAGATCCCACATGCTGTGGGGCAACTAAACCCGTGCACCACAACTACTGAGCCTGCGCTCTAGAGCCCACGAGCCACAAGTACTGAGCCCATGTGCCACAACTACTGAAGCCCACACGCCTAGAACCCATGCTCCACAACAGAGAAGCCGCCACAATGAGAAGCCGGTGCACCGCGAGGAAGAGTAGACCCCGCTCACCACAACTAGAGAAAGCCCATGCGCAGCAACAAAGACCCAATGCAGCCAAAACAAAAAAAAAAGAAGAGTTAATGGAAGAGTCATGTCATGAAAAACAAAAAACAGTGAGGGGACTGTTCTAGATTAAAAGAGCAAGTGTATGCAGTATGAACGTTTATTGGATCCATGTCCATTGATGACAGTTTTTGGACAGTTGGGAAAATTTAAAGGTTCTATATTAGATGAAATTATTTCTAATTCATTAATACTTATTCAATTAATGTTAATTTTTTAGATGTGATAATATCATTGTGATCGTTATTCCTTATTTAGAGGTGAATTGTCATGTCTGTAACCTTCAAATAATGCAGCAAAAGTTGCATCTAGGGACTTCCCTGGTGGTGCAGGGGTTAAGGATCCACCTGCCAATGCAGGGGACATGGGTTCGAGCCCTGGTCCAGGAAGATCCCACATGCCGCGGAGCAACTAAGTCCGTGCGCCACAACTACTGAGTCTGCGCTCTAGAGGCTGCAAGCCACTACTACTGAGCTCATGTGCCACAACTACTGAAGCCTGCGTGCCTAGAGCTTGTGCTCCGCAACAAGAGAGGCCACCACAGTGAGAAGCTCGCGTACCACAACGAAGAGTAGCCCCCGCTCAACGCAACTAGAGAAAGCCTGCGTGCAGCAACGAAGACCCAACGCAGCCAAAAATAAATAAACAAACGAATAAATAAATTTAAAAAAAAAAAAAAAGTTGCATCTATCTATCTACTTACCTACCTACCTATAAATAGAGATAACGTAAATGTGGCAAAATGATAACAATTGGCATTGAGGTGAAGGCTTTTAGGGTGTTTGTTGTGTATTCTGACAACTTTTTCTGTATCGAAACAATGTTAAGTGCAGTATTGCATTGGAAATGGTGCAGAATGCTGCACTTAACATGAAGCTGAAGGGAGCAGAGTATGGCATCTGGCATTAACAGTAGAGAAGAGTGTTGTGTCTAGTGATGAGTGAGTAATGGGGAATGTGGCTCCAGTGACTGTAGTGAATGTAGCACCTAGCACACAGCACCTAGCATTAAAAGAGAGTAAAGCAGAATGAGGCATCAAGAGTTCATATGACAGAAATCTCTTGAATTCCTATACAATAATGATGAAAAATCTGAAATAAAAATTAAGGAAACACTCGCATTTCCCATTGCAACAAGAAGAATAAAATACCTAGGAATAAACCTACCTAGGGAGACAAAAGACCTGTATGCAAAAAAATGTAAGACACTGATCAAAGAAATTAAAGATGATACAAACAAATGGAGAGATATACCATGTTCTTGGATTGGAAGAATCAACACTGTGAAAATGACTATACTACCCAAAGCAATCTACAGATTCAACGCAATCCCTATCAAACTACCAATGGCATTTTTCACAGAACTAGAACAAAAAATTTCACAATTTGTATGGAAACACAAAAGACCCCGAACAGCCAAAGCAATTTTGAGAAAGAAAAACGGAGCTGGAGGAATCAGGCTCCCGGACTTCAGACTATACTACAAAACTACAGTAATCAAGACAATATGGTACTGGCACAAAAACAGAAATATAGGTCAGTGGAACAGAGTAGAAAGCCCAGAGATAAATCCACGCACATATGGTCACCTTATCTTTGATAAAGGAGGCAAGAATATACAGTGGAGAAAAGACAGCCTCTTCAATAAGTGGTGCTGGGAAAACTGGACAGCTACATGTAAAAGAATGAAATTAGAACACTCCCTAACATCATACACAAAAATAAACTCAAAATGGATTAAAGACCTAAATGTAAGGCCAGACACTATCAAACTCTTAGAGGAAAACATAGGCAGAACACTCCATGACATAAATCACAAGCAAGACCCTTTTTGACCCACCTCCTAGAGAAATGGAAATAAAAACAAAAATAAACAAATGGGACCGAATGAAACTTAAAAGCTTTTGCACAGCAAAGGAAACTATAAACAAGACGAAAAGATAACGCTCAGAATGGGAGAAGATATTTACAAACGAAGCAACTGACAAAGGATTAATCTCCAAAATATACAAGTAGCTCATGTAGCTCAATATGAAAACGCAAACAACCAAATCCAAAAATGGGTAGAAGACCTAAATAGACATTTCTCCAAAGAAGATATACAGATTGCCAACAAACACATGAAAGGATGCTCAACATCACTAATCATTAGAGAGATGCAAATCAAAACTACAATGAGGTATCTAACCTCACACCAGTCAGAATGGCCATCATCAAAAAATCTACAAACAATAAATGCTGGAGAGGGTGTGGAGAAAAGGGAACCCTCTTGCACTGTTGGTGGGAGTGTCAATTGATACAGCCACTGTGGAGAACAGTATGGAGGTTCCTCAAAAAACTAAAAATAGAACTACCCTACGACCCAGCAATCCCACTACTGGACATATACCCTTAGAAAACCATAATTCAAAGAGTCATGTACCACAATGTTCATTGCAGCTCTATTTACAATAGCCAGGACATGGACGCAACCTAAGTGTCCATCGACAGATGAATGGATAAAGAAGATGTGGCCCATATATACAATGGAATATTACTCAGCCATAAAAAGAAATGAAATTGAGTTATTTGTAGTCAGGTGGATGGACCTAGAGACTGTCATACAGAGTGAAGTAAGTCAGGAAGAGAAAAACAAATACCGTATGCTAACACATATATATGGAATCTAAAAAAAAAGGTTCTGAAAAACCTAGGGGCAGGACAGGAATAAAGACACAGACATAGAGAATGGACTTGAGGACACAGGGAGGGGGAAGGGTAAACTGGGATGAAGTGAGAGAGTGGCATGGACATATATACACTACCAAATGTAAAATAGATAGCTAGCGGGAAGCAGCCACATAGCACAGGGAGATCAGCTCTGTGCTTTGTGTCCACCTAGAGGGGTGGGATAGGGAAGGTGGGAGGGAGACGCAAGATGGAGGGGATATGGGTATATCTGTATACATATAGCTGATTCACTTTGTTGTACAGCAGAAACTAGCACAACATTGTAAAGCAATTATACTCCAATAAAGATATTTTAAAATTTTTTGAAAAAAGGAGGAGATATGGGGATGTATGTATATGTGTAGCTGATTCACTTTGTTATAAAGCAGAAACTAACACACCATTGTAAAGCAATTATACTCCAATAAAGATGTTAAAAAAAAGAACACGAAATAGTGACTAATTCCTTGTGCTCGCCTGATCTCAGGCAGGGAAGGGAGATGTGTGTCCTCCTTATCTGTCCTGGTGTTCTGTGCTCTTGGGCAGTAGGACTTACCTTGGGCAGGGATGCTCGGGAGCCTGAGCTCTGGGTGGTCATGGTGAGCACGGTGGTGATGCCCAGGCCCACACGGGCTGGGGCAGCATCCATGTTGATCCAGAATGAAATCCACGAGAGGATGACAATGAGCAGGCTGGGAATGTACATCTGGATCAGGTAGTAGCCCATCTGTCGCTCCAGGTGGAACCGGGCCTCGATGCAGGTGAATTTGCCTGCAAGAATTTATAGCGGGAAGGCCAGGTAGCCTTGGACAGGAACAAGGCTTTGAGGTCAGAGCACCCTTGACTGGAGTCCTGGTTCAGCCTCACAATAGCTGTGTCCTTAGGTGAGTGTCTGAATCTTTCTGTGTCTCAGTTTCCTCATCTTTGGTAAATTGGGGATAATGATAATGATGATAATAGTAATAATAATACCAACCTCATATGGTTACTCATGGTTACTGTGATGGTAAAATGAGATGATGCCTATGCCTATAAAGAACTTAGCACAGTCCTCACAAACCATTAATGCTGAGAATGTCATTTGCCATCATCCCCATCAACACTATTTTGTTGCTAAGAGTGGGCCCAAGTGGATCATTCTCTATCCTTCTGCCAGTTTTGTTGCCAAAAAGTGACTCATTTCTGTTACTTCCTCTTGTAGAACCTTTCTTTCCTTCCATCTCTCCCCATACAAGAAAGTCCCCATTACCTACAGGGAAAAGTTCAAACTCTAGTCTGCCCTTCACGGTTGACCTCTAGCCTGTTTCCACCCCATTTCCCTTGTTTCTTTACTCTACTCATGACCCCCTACACTCCATCCCTTGCCTTGAGCATCCTCTGTATTTTCTCACTTCTGAGTTTTTGAGCCTGATAATCCCTCTGCCCCGAAAGCCCTTCTTCTGCCCCACAACCAGCCAAAGAAATCCTCCCTTTCCTTTATGGCAGTCTAACTGTGAAGACTCGCCCAGGCAGGGGGCGCTTTTTTTCCTGTGTCCCTTCAGCTCTCTCCACAAGATCATCAGAGCCTTTAAGGTATAGTACACTGAGTTAGTAGGCACGTTGATCTCACTCTCTCTCTCTCTCTGTGTCCTCTGCACCAGACTGCGCACAGCTCGTCTCCTCCCAATCTGTGAATCCCTGGAACTGGGCTGGGCCATCCCATGGTGGCGTCTTAGCTCCAGTCCACGGACGCAGAGTTACCAGGGCATTTTCTACAGCTCCCTGGACAGCCCCTTCCATGTGGACAGGGCCTTGCCAGTCTTCTCTCCTTGAATCCACAGAGCTAGCCCAGAACTCAGCTCTCACTTAAATGTGAATAGTGAAGGGCAACTGAGATGATGAATGAGAAAACGCTGTGTAAACAGTAAAGGGCTGTGTGTGGTATGTGAGAGTCTGTTGTGATTATTTGATTCATGGGGACTCACTGCTAATGAGAGTACAGTTGGCCCTCTGTATCTGTGGGCCCTGCATCCTTCAGTGAGGAGGGCCAACTATGGTCTTGAGCATCCCTGGATTTTGGTAATTTAGCAGGTCCTGGAACCAGTTCCCCTTGGATACTGTCTCTGAGTCTCAGCTTGCCCAGGGATGAAGAGAGTATTTTTGAAGGTTCTAAGATATCTCCGAGGTCACTGGAAAGAGACAGCTGTCCTAAACAGACCAGCACCCAGGCTGCCTGCTTTTTCTCTGGGCCTTCTACTTGCATCAGAACCCACAGTGGTTTCTCTGAACCCCTCTCCTTCACCTCCTCTTCTCCTGGGCCCCTGTCGCAGCCTGTCATGTGTCTCCACTCCACTCGGCTGTGTTCAGACAGCAGCCCCCGGCCCAGCTCCCCAGCGTGGCATACTGACTGCCTTTTGTCCACAATGTTCCACGAGCTCCTTCCCAGCCTGAAACAGGGCAGGCAAAGCCAGTCTTGATCCGGCCCCACTTCATCCCTGTGTTCAATCTTCCAACAAATGCTGGGCTAGGCGTGGGAGATAGAGAGCTGAGCTAAAAAGTGGGGTTCCCTCCTCATAGCTCACAGTCTAGGGGACCCTTTCCAACTTCACTGTTTACTAATCCTCAGTGCCAGCTCTCAGCTCCCCACTGAGGTCTAATGTGAACATTCTCTGTGCTTTTGCCCTCTCAGAAATTCTGGTCCCGGGACTTCCCCAGCGGTCCAGTGGTTAAGAGTTCACCTTCCAATGCAGGGAGTGCAGGTTCGATCCCTGCTCGGGGAGCTAAAATCCCACATGCCTCACGGCCAAAAAAAACACAAAAAGAAAAACAAAACCAGAGCATAAAACAGAAGCAATATTGTAACAAATTCAGCAAAGACTTTAAAATGGTCCACATCAAAAAAAAAATCTTAAAAAAAAAATAGAAATGCCAGTCCCTCTGTGATAGACACTGCTAGATGTCCTCCCTCTGTCAGCTCTCCCTTCTGCCTTAGGGACAGGGTCTGTCCTGAGCTGGACATACAGCTACCTGGAAAAGAGAATGTATCTCCCAGCTCCCCTTGTCATGAGATGTGGCCCAAGCTCAAGTGACTTGTCCCAGGACTCACAGGAAGAAAGCGTGGGAGCCACTTTTTGGTTTCAAGGGACATTCCCTTGACCACTAGGTAATAAATAGGGAGATAGAGCCACCACAGGTACCTCGGAAGATCCGTTGGATCAGCAACTGAATGAATGTTTGCACTGACCTCTGGCCCTGGCTGGGTTGAGGTGGGCCCTCGCACGTACCTGTGTTGTAGTGCTTGGTGCAGTACCTCAAGTCCTTCTCCTCCTTCAGGATAAACTGGGGCAGAGTCAGTCCATCTGCCACCTGCACAGCCCCCTGCTCCTGCCACTCAAAGATGAGGTCATTCATGGTGTATCCAACTGGGATGGGATGAGAAGGAGGAGAAGTCACCACCCGGAAGCTCTTATTTGAAGCATGTCAGGGGTGCTGCAGGAAGGGCGTCTAACATGAAGCATGTTAGAAGCAGAGAGGCATCAGACACTCAGTGGAACTCATGAGACTATGTCGCTGCTGCGGTTTTTTTCTCCCCACACGAGAGGTTAAAGCTGGTTTCATTGTTGACATCTACCCCACAGCCCTTCCACCTCTCTTACCCACCCCTGCCAGCCTCCCACCTTAGCTTGTCCTCTTGCCCTCACCCCTCAGTCCCATGTCAGATTCAGCTGACCTCCGCTCTTTTTGCCTGTGCACCATCCTTGCAAGCCCCCCTCTTGTGCCCCCAGCAGATTTTCCTCTGGGGAATAACTGTATGGTATGCTATCCTGGCGGGGCTATCAGTTGGGGGCCAAGGTGTGAGATGGTGACTCAGCTAGGCCAATCAGACTCTCTGCCCCAGGACTTTGACTGTTGAGTAAAGTGACAAAGGGTTCGGAGATGGCTGGTGCAGACTCTCCTCAGAGGTGGTGCTCCGAGGGGATGGTCTGTTAGTTCCTGTTGCCTAAATGCTCTGGCCTGGTTCTTGTACTTTAGCTTTTCCTTCAAGTCCATGTGGAACCCCTATGTCCTTCCACTTAATTCCATTCTTTACATGAGTCAGATTGGTTTCCGTGTTTGCAGTCAAAGAAGTGAGCTCCCCCATCTGTTAAAATCTTGGTTCACCTGTGATCTCCTCCATAAAGCCTTCTCCATACCCTGTCTCCTTACCCAGTCAGAAGGAAGTGCACTTTCTGCCTTGAGGCCACAGCATTTTGTACGTCTAACCACACACTTACCACTTGCTGCCTGCCTTAGAGTTACTTGTGCAGAAGACCTCTCCCTTGCTGGAGTGAGCATCCCTGTGAGTTCAAGGACCATGACTTATTCAAGCTATTGCTCCTCCATTCCTGGCGAGCATGTTCACAGGGGACATGGAACAGTGCCTCTTTGGAGAATGCTGCTGGCTCCAGAGCTGAACTTCAGTCAGACAATGCTAGGGAAGTTATATTTCTAATGCGTTTTCTAAGAGCAAAGCTCCTCATCTGGTATTTTGGGCTATTACAGTAATCTCCTGGGGTCCAGTGGTTAGGAGCATCTGTGTGGGAATTTATGCTGGTCCCACGGGGATAGGAGAGTCTGGTTCTTTTAGAGGCCTCATGCAAGGGACTCACAGCTTTCCAGTTGCATAATGCACGTCTGGACGTCCATGGGGAAATTCTTCAAGTCCATGGGGCAGGCCAGTGTCAGGGTGATTCTGGGAAGAGAAAGGAGCTGTATGATGTTGGAACCACAAACCAGAGAAGCTGTGCCTCTGTTCCAGTCACTACTGGAAAATCAGTTATCTAGGAAAGGCCAAGGAGGCTAGGGAACCAGTGTTTATTGAAATAATATATGTATATTTCCACGTCAGAGAGATAAAGTAGGTTGCCTAAAGTCACACAAGTCAGTGGAACTTCTGGGCTTCTTTGGCGTCTGTCTGGCTTCTAGAAACTTGCCTTTAGCAAGTTGCCTGAAGGCCTGTAGGCCATGGGCCACCTGCATCCCTTCTCTTCTGTAGAGCCCTCAGGTAGGGCAGAGCCTGAATTTTAAATTGAGCACCACCAGGCCTCAAGCATCCCCAGGTGCACCTGTATGTAGCAGGTGCGCAGGTGGTTCTTGGGTTCTCCCTTCACACACTAGGCTCATCAAAAGTGATTTCCAAGAGGCTCCCTGCACGCTGGGTGTCCAACACAGCCGACTCGCGTCTGCGGGCTCCTGCTGGGGTCATTTGGGGGGTGGTGGTTGCTCCAGGCGTCTGGGCTAGCTGTTTATTTTGGGTTGTTCAGCCCTGGCAGAGACTGCAGCCTCAGAACCAGAGGGAGTCCCCTTAACAGAATCTGAGGTCTGCAGCTCAGCTGCGATGCAAGACTTCAGCTTGAAACGCTTTGCCAGCGTCTGAGCCCCTGCTGCAGGGAACAGAGAAGAAAGGCTCGTGGAGGCCAGAGAGACTTAGATCATCAGGCCAACTCCTGCACTGGACAGGTGAGAAAACTGGGATGCAGAGAAGGCTAGGTGGGGAGGCATGTCAGGTCACACAGCCAGCTGATGGCTCAGCCAGGGTTCAAAACCAGGTCTCCTGGCTTTTGGATTTTGAGCTCGTATGTTTGCTGGTGGGCTTTCTAGCACTGCTGTCCTGAAAAGCCAACCTCAATACCCGAAGACCCCTAACTGGTGGTCTTGTGGGGCTTAGCTGCTGGCACCTCGGCCCCATGTGGTGAGGCCCACGGCCTGGCGCGAACTTCCTCCTCCAGCTCTCACCCACGGCTGTGGATGCGGGCCCTTTAAGCACAAGGCAGAGGCAGGGAGGGAAAGGGCAGGGAGAGGGAGGGGAAGAAGAGGGGAAAGAGGGAGTGGGAGAAGGAGGGGGAAGGGAAGGGAAAGTGCACGCAGTTGAATTTCTGAAGATAAAAGCTCCAAAGTGGGGCAGCCGTCACACTGGGTGAATTTCCTGAAGTTGAATGACCTTGGAACATCACTTTCTGCTGATTTGTCTTTCTGTCATGCTGCACTGGGGCTTAGCTTCCTGGAGATATGAAACTGAGCCTGGCTGCGGCAGAATCCAAGCCAGCCAGGCCTCGGTGGCCATCCTGAGCCCATCACCCTTCCAGTCTGGATGCGCACTGGGTGGGGCGGGCAATGGGTACGGAAGGCCATGTTGGCCTCGGATTCCTCCATGGTGCCTCCTTTACCTGCTGAGGTCCCTGAGTCCCCTCTCCCACCCAGCCTGCTCTCAGGGGAGACTCTGAATCCATTCACATTTGGGGATTAGGATCTGTGCGGCCTCTCCAATGGGCTTGGACACTTAAAGCTCATCTCCTAATGGAAATAAAAAGATATATTCCCCTGAGGGACTGGAGGGGCAGGAGAGTCGTTTAGGACCAGTGTCCCCCCCCCTTTTTTTTAACTTTTTATTTTATGTTGGCGTATAGCCGATGAACAATGTTGTGATGGTTTCAGGTGCACAGCAAAGCGACTCAGCCACACATATACATGTATCCATTCTCCCCCAGACTCCCCTTCCATCCAGGCTGCCACATGACATTGAGCAGAGTTCCCTGTGCTACACAGCAGTAGTAGGACCAGTGTCCCTTTAAGCTCTTTGAAATAAAAACATACTCATTAACTCATCAAATATTTGAGTGCCTATTGAATGCTCTGCACTGTTCTTCTAGGCTCTGAGTGGGCATTAGGTGCACACTAACAGATGAGAATCTAGGTTCTGCTACTTTGTAGCTGTGGGAACTCTGGCAAGTTGCTTAAACTTTCAGATCCTCACTTGTCTAATCTGCAAAGTGGGCATAATAAAGCCTACTTCATAGGGTTGTTAGGACGATTATAAATAATACATACAAAGTCTGAGCCTAGTAGGTAAATTCCCAGTGAATGGTACGTAGTAAGGATATAACATGGACATTGGTCCTTCTCTCCATGCCTTGGGGGAGGAGACTGAGAATTAGGTGGGTTGGGAGGGGCACAGAGTGTGGCAGGAAGCTCTGAAAGTTTGCCCATAACCAGTGTATGCAGGATATCCCCCAACTGGGGAGGGGAGTCCCAGCAGACTCAGTGCAAGGAGCAGAGGATAGAAAGGCTTTCTAGAAGGGAGGGAGCAGCCCTGGCTTGTACCTGTGAGCAGCACCGTCCACCTGGCAGACCATTTATGTTGAAGTTGCTGTGATTTTTCAGACTTTGTGCCTTTGCTCGGCTATTATTTAAAATTATGATAGAAACGTTTAACATGAGATCCACCCTCTTAATAAGTGTTTAAATGTACAGTAGAGTATTGTTAGCTATAGAGTATCATTGTTCAGCAGCTCTCTGGAATTTATTCATCTTGAGTAACCGAATGTTCCTGGGGTCAGCATTGTCTTTGAGTATTCTTTTCCCATCTTGTTTGATTGAAATTCTGCGTAAGCTTGGGGGCCTAACTTTAACCTTCCCTCTCTAGGATGCTTCCTTGGTCCCCCTGGTTATAATGAACTGCTCGCTTCTAGGAGTTCCCGTGGTATTTTATTCTTACTTGCTGAGTGTAAGCTGCAGAGCTGGCTCTGCCTATTCCGTAAAGGTGTTCGGTTGCCAGGGCCTGTTCACCTCTGTTTGGCCCTCCTCTTAGCGTCTGCCCCCACAGGGTATGTTCTGAGAATGGAGGGGATGAGCCTGTACAGAACTCACCGGATGCTGTAGAGGACATTCCCATTCCGGGAGATCCTCAGCAGTTTGTTGTCCGTGGTGATCTCGTGGAAGTGGGCCCCCTTCTCATTGGCAAAGAACAAGTCAGGTTTCCAGATGGAGTCCAACATGGATGGGTCCAGGTCCAGAGAGTCATCCGGGTATTCGTTGTAGGCCAGCCGGGGGTCGTTCCACTGCTGCCGTAGGAAGATGTTGACCCTATAGTCCTACAGGCAGGAGATAAGGAGGTGGACTCAGAGTTAGGCCCTGGGATGTCACATCTTGGAGGGCCCAGGTGCTTTCGGTCAGCACTTCCCAAAGCCCCTCCTGGAGGATGCTATCAGAGCATGGTTGCATCTTACATGGGGATGAGACGTAAAGTCTGTGCATCAGGCAAAAATCAGGGCAGTCATAATTATCCCTGAAAATTCTCTAGATGCCCTGTTAAGTATATTCACCTCTGAACTGAGATTAATTAAATGTTATTCTTTCTTCTGAAAAATTTAAAAAATGAAGTTCATACTGATGTAATAAACACCTGTTTTTCATCCTGTTAACATTTTGTTGTGTTTGCTTCAGTTTTTGTTAGATAAGAGAAATAATACATCACAGATAAAGCTGAAGTCCCCCTTTTATTATCAACCCCATCAGTGCAGTAATTCTTATGCCCACTAAGGTTTGAGAGTCACTATTCTAGACAGATTGAAGGAACAAAAGAAAAGACTAAAAGCTGATGCCTGAGCACTCACCATTTTGCCCAATTCCCAAGCCGTGAAGGAAAGTTGGGTGGAGGGATTTTATAGTGTTCTGCTGGTCTTAGGGTTCACACCACTCTGTTTTAATACCGGCCTTCTGTTACCTTCTATAACGTGTTGATTTGTTTGTTTGGGGAGGACTAATAGATGCCACATCTTACTGGAACCCAGCGCTAAGTTAAATGCTCTCTGATGGGACAGAAAAAGTCACGATGAAACCAAGTAGGGAAATGTTTGATTAAACCAAATGTATCAGATTTCTTTATGGCAGGACTTCTCAGAGACCTTAATATGCTGAGGAGTTGTGTGCATCTCCAAGAGGGGAGTAGACTATGCAACATTTCCTTGATTTATTTTGGCCATAGAACTCTTTTATTTTGTGCATGAGGCTCATCTTCTACAGAATGTGGGTTAGAAATTGCCGTCCTAGTCAAAACTACCCCCTTCCCCACCTTTTTTTTTTTTCCAGATGAGGAAACTGAAATCTAGAGAGAGTTGAGACTGGCCGTGTCTCTCTGAAAAGGTAGAGCAGAGTTGATTTTGAAGCCCAGGTACCTTGACTCCTAGCTGAGGATTTGTTCATTGGGTCTTAGAGGGTCTTAAAGAATCCATTTAGTTCCCATTAACAACCTGAGAAGCAGTTTGTGGTAGGTCTCCACAGTGGGAAACTGGGTAATGAAGTTAAGAAATATTTCCATTAAGAAAAGTTTTAAATTTTGTTAGAGAGACATTGTAAACTTGGGGCCCGTGAATATTCCATTGCAAGTAGAATTTGGGGTGTATTTGTGTTTTCCTATGAAGAAGGGTATAGCTCTCTCTGTTGGATTCCCAAGAGGGTTTATAGTTCCCTAGAAGATTAATAACCTCAGTTGAAGTCCAACTTTAAATGTTCTCCTTCAGGGAATAATCTCTGCTCAGAAGCACGTGCTGCTGCTTTTTCTCTGAAGGTGCAGGATAAAGGAGGTTATGCTATATTTTCTTTTGGGGTGCTACCCGTAAATCCCGATCACCCTCGATCTGTCATCAGCAGGAATGGACTGAAGCAAACAGCCCTTCTGCCCCCCACGCTCCCCCCTGCCACTTCCTCCCACATTCTGTTTGCCTACAGGAATATCAGTAGCTTCCTGAAATGTTCCAAGATGTCTTATGGGACTGTTCTATAATTTAGCTGAAGCCTCTCCCTCCAGCCCCATAGAAAATGACATTTGGTCTCATAATCAGGAATAAAGACGCAGACGTAGAGAATGGACTTGAGGACACGGGGAGGGGGAAGGGTAAGCTGGGACGAAGTGAGAGAGTGGCATGGACATATATACACTACCAAATGTAAAATAGATAGCTAGTGGGAAGCAGCTGCATAGCATAGGGAGATCAGCTCGGTGCTTTGTGACCACCTAGCGGGGTTGGATAGGGAGGGTGAGAGAGAGACGCAAGAGGGAGGAGGTATGGGAACATAGGTATATGTATAGCTGATTCACTTTGTTATAAAGCAGAAACTAACACACCATTGTAAAGCAATTAGACTCCAATAAAGATGTTAAAAAAAAATTTCCTATCTTATCAGTCCTGCGGTGGAGGGAAAACTTCAGGCCAGACTGGAGGTTGATTCTTTGTTTTTCCTGTTGATTGTAATAGCTCCCAACCTGGCCCCATCTCATCAGTTTGTCCTGTGGATTTTACATGAGGTGCGTGTGTTTGTGTGTGTGTGTGTGTGTGTGTGTGTGTGTGTGAGTGTGAGTGAGAGAGAGGGAGAGAGGGAGGGAGGGAGGGAGGGAGGGAGGGAGGGAGGGAGAGATGAGGCACTGGGAGTCATGTCAGAGTAAACAGACTATGAATGGTTGGACAGAAAAAGCCTTCAGTCCCCAAACCCCAGCTGCACTTCTGATGTTCTTGCCAGCAACATGTCAAGCCAGTTTATGTGGCTGGAAGGAAGAAAAGAAAGTGGCATTTCTTAAAATGGCCTGTTAGGCACCAGGCACTGTTCTAGATACTGTCACATACGTGTAATCCTTACAAAACCCCTGCAAGCTAGACATTCAAATTATCCTAGTGAGGTTCAGGAAACTGAGGTTTGGAAAGGTTGAGCTAGTAAGCAGCAGAGCTGGAATCTGAATCCACATCAGCCCGACCTTCTAGTGAGCACTTGTTGATTACGTCCCCTGGCTATGGATGGCTGGTTCTGTGCTGGGGAGCCTCTTCTCTCACCCCCACTGCCTGCTCAATTTAAGCCTTATCTCCTGTAGGAGGCTTGGTGCCCCCAGGCTTCCCTGACTTCTTCCTTTTCTGATCTCCTAGCAAAACGGAATGGCCAGAAACATTTAATTTAGCACTACCTCACTGTGTGTGTCTTATCTCCTCAACCTGAAGGGCAACAGTTTGAGAGGATAAACCTGACCTTTTCTTTCTCTTGCACCATCCTACCTACTCACCCAGTCGGTGTACCTGGAGCTACCCACCACCCAGGAGGGGGAGGGGGAGGGGGAGGGGGAGGCAGAGCTGGAAAAAGTTGGGGTAGGAAGAGCTTTCCCCATTTTTTATTTATTTTTTATCTTTTTGATGTACGCGGGCCTCTCCCGTTGTGGAGCACAGGCTCCGGACACGCAGGCTCAGTGGCCATGGCTCACGGGCCCAGCCGCTCCGTGGCATGTGGGATCTTCCCGGATCGGGGCACGAACCCGTGTCCCCTGTATTGGCAGGCAGACTCTCAACCACTGCGCCACCAGGGAAGCCCGAGCTTTCCCCATTTTATAGCTGGAGAGACTGCGGGTCAGAGAGAGGAGGCATTGTCCAAGGTCACATAGCAATTCAGAAGAGACCTGGGATTAAAATCTGGATTTACTTCTCCGGGCCCCACTGTTAGAAGGAGGAGTTAGGCTAGATGGTCTCTGAGAACCCTTCCAAATCTAATAGGTGATCGTTATTAGTTTTATGTTCTCCGGCGACATTTAATGGAGCCTCTAAGTGCCAGGCGCTGTTCTCGGCACTGGAGAACACGTTGAGAACAAGAAAGACATGTTTATGCTGTCACAGAGCCTACGGTGTAGTGCTTACATCACACGGAGACTGGGCTCTGCTGGGGATTAGCTACAGGGCGCTGGGGATTAGCTACAGGGCACTGGGGAGATACAGAAGCTAAGGTGAGACCAAATATGGCAGAGCCAAAAAGGAAAAGCATTTTGGGCAGTTGGAACTGCACCTGTGAAGGCCTAGAGACAAAGCAAGAGCATGGTGCTTTGGACAGAACAGCAAGTAGATGAGTGAGGGCAGGAGGGGGAGGAAGCATGCAGCGCCCAGCAGGCTGTCCTGGGGAATGCGGACTCCGTCCTGGGACTAATGTGGAGTCTTCGAAGAATTTTAAGTAGGGAAGGACATTATTACAGTTGCATTTTATTACTGATATTTAAAAATACTTTATTTTTCTTATTACAGAAGTAATGCTTGTTGATTATAAAACAATAGAAACATACGTCACTTAAAAGGAGAAAAACAAAATGAAAACCATAGGGTCTCGCTTTGAAGCGATTCATGAGAAGTGAGGGTAAGAGCTGAGGAGACTGTGTCTGGTGTCCTCAGGCGACTTGTCCCCTTCTCCTAGTGCCCCCTTCTCCCCTCAGCACCCGCTCCCCAGACGAGCTGCTGCATCGATTTTCTCCTCCCCGGTTGGTAAACAGCAGCAGGAAATGCCGTTTGGAAGGGACCAATGTAACTGTTGTAATAGGCTGAAAGCTAAATGCCGTTTTGCTTACTTGGCTCTACAGTCACTCTGGTCAGTGTTCAACCTGATGGGGGTCCATGTTCAGGCCCAGAGGCTGGAAGAACAGCACTGGAGCTCTCCAGCTGAGAACCTCAGGTCCCACCTCTGGTAGTTGGCTTCCAGGCCTTGACCCTCAAGATGGCCCATCTTCTAAGTCCGAGGGGGAGGGACTGGTGGAGCTCTGGCTCAGCAGGCTCTAGCACCCACTCTCTAGTCTTGCATCTGAGATTCCCTGATGGCTTGATTTCTGGAAACTGGGCAGCTTCCATGCTTGCGAGACCAAGGTAGAGTATTAACTCATTCATTTGTTCGTTCTATCATTCAACAAACATGGATGGAAGACTTCCTGTGTGCACCCACCCCCGCGCCGTCCCCGCCCCGGTTATGTCTAATTTCAGACTCTAACCTCTCCCAGCAAACTCCTCTAAACTCAGTATTGTGGTGAAATAGGAAACATGAGGTGCTTTAGTAGGAAAGAGCTAAGAACCTGGTGGGTGTGTTGGTGGGAAGAGGACGTGAAGGGCAAGATGTGTGCCCACAGCAGGCAGAACCAAGAGCCATCACCCAAGAGGAGGAAGAAGAATCAGATTCTTGTACCCTCCTAAGTCTCAGCCTTCTAGCCGTTAAAGGGATGTTTCTTCTCTAAACTTGATTCAACTCTATAAACACTTATGAGGCCCAGTGGGAGAACGGTGAGAGCAGAGGCTCAGGTCTTGGC